TCTTGTGAGTTCTGTAAACAACAATTAAATTGTGTTAACATAACAACCTTACACTCGTATATAATACACATTCTTACATTTTGGAGCTCTTTAAGTTTTTAAAATGCAGCTGTAACATCGTTGGAAATAGCTGACATTTTAAAAAAAAATTTTACACAAGTCCATACAATTGATTATGCAGTTGGTTCTTACGGGTATAAACTGATTAAACATGTAGTAGACTGTCAAACCTATGATCAGATTTTTAAAGGCACAGTTAATCTTTCTTGCAGATCCTGTTTTGGCAACTGTTACTGAAACATCTTTGGAGCAGAGTATTGTGCTACTGGACTGCTGCTGTGTAAATGATCCCTGTGATGTTTCAGAAGTGCTTTGAAATTAAAAATTGAAGCAAGTTTCTTCTTCTTTATGGCAGAAGTTGCAGGAGAGGAAGTTTTTAGATGGTCAGAGATCTCCCTACATGTCTGACTGGGCTTTGGCAGTCTGCTTCAGCCCCCGTGCAGCCTCTTCACATTATCTTTGTCTTGTGCTTGGCCCTACTATTCTTGTTCCTTGCCTTCCCCCCCCCCTTTTTTTTTTTTATGTTAACTGGAAAGAAAAGGAGTCTTGTAGGTGAATTCCCTTTAACTGTGATGCTTGCTGCTCTCACATTATTCAGTGTGTTTTCTGAATGCTGCATATTGGGGCTTTTTTAGATCATCCTTGCCTCTAAGGCTTTTCTCAACTCTTATTATGATTTATTTTTAGCTGAGGTTAAGATAATAATAAACTAAATGGCCAACAAAAAAAAATGGGTAAAGTTGTTATGATGGATAATATATGAATGTACATCCAGTGCAGGTTAAGAATTAATTTCTGTCAGCATTTCTTGCATGAGATCTTCTGATGTCAAGTGATGGAGCGGTTACTAATACAGAGCTGAATGTGATATTTGAAATAACTCAAGTGCAAACCTATAACTCAACTTATACAAACCTATAAATCTGAAAAGACTTAAAAATAAAACAAAACACATACTTTTGGTGAAACATACAGACAAATTTTCTTTTTAATGGCAAAGTTCAGAAGTTTTTTTCAAGGCCTCTGATTCATAGTGTTAGGATATGGCTTTGAGATACAGTAAAAAAAAAAAACGATCAAAACTTTTTAGTTAGGCTTCGTTGTTTAGTCTGAGTTGTGATGAATGCAATTTTTTAATTTACTTTAAAATATATATATGCCTATATATAGGTATAAATTAGGAGGCTCATCAGCATCCTCCTGCATCTAATTCCTATCCATAAAGCCATGGTAATCTAGGCAGGCCACTGAGCTGGCAGTGCTTCTTAGTCAAGCAAAAGAGTTGCAGCTGATCAAAGTGCTTTCCAAGCTGTTAGAAAACTTGAGGCTGTAGGAGTAAAATGTGGATTTGTTTTATTACTGAACCAGCAAAACTATACTTTGATGTTATTGTCTATGTACAGGGCTGTGAGTTTATATATTTGCCAGTTGGAAACAAATTTGAGGTTCCATCTGTCTTTTGCTTTTTCATCCCCTTCTCATGACTTCTCAGCAATAAAAATAAGGTTTCTGGGAGAGGGGAGGCTGGTCTACCTAGATTTAATCTCCTTTTTACTTGAATATAATTGCTTGCATGACTTGATTATTCTAAAATTTTGTTTCAAAGGAAGAAAAATCTGATATGTATCTGTATTTTTTATATATATATAAATACTTTGGTGTTAAACTTGGATCTTCATTACTCATACTGCACTGAAAGCTTCAAGACTGGGTCTTGTGGACTTCAGAAATCTCGGTTTCAAAATCAAACATGTTAGCTTCCTAGCTTTAACTTGTGTCAGCACACAAGCATTTGACTTTTTAAGCATGCAGTGTTTTATAGACTACTTGTTTGAGAGTAATTGAAATATTTAGGGATTTAATTTGGGTTTCTGCTTCAAATTTCTATGGGTTTAGTTATATAGTTTTTCTTTCCAATGTAAATCAACATACTGTGCAACTGTCACTTTCTGTTTTAAAATCTTTTCTTTTTAAATGGCTTTAGAGATGTGTTTTAGAGGGTTTTTACATCTCTGCCTAATAAAGAATAAAACATCTAATGATATGATAAAATTACTGTTGAGGTTGCAGTGGCTTCAATCATAGTACTCGCTCTTGGTCAAGTAGTTGCTTATCCCACCCTCCAGTATTATTCTCCAGAAGCTGATCAAAGGTGTTTTTTGTAGGACACTTGTTTTCACCTTCTTTCTTTCCAGCCATTTCATTGTTTCTGTTCAAGCTCCTTTTTCTCTGGGATAATGAATGTTTATATCCAGTCAGTGCTGTCCTTGAAATAGTGTTGAGGGGTTTTTGTTTGTTTCAAGAACTAGTTTCTTGCCTTTACAGTCTCTTCAGCTGTTTTCACATGGGATAAGATGATAAATATTGTGTCAACTGAATTTTCCAAATAGGTGTAACAACTCTTGTTAAATTTCAGGAGGTTTAATAATAAATTTATGCTATTGTCTACTGAGATTCAACTGGAGACTTGTGAACTCAAGTTTAATTACAAGGGATGATCTGTTATAACCAAATAAACCCACTCCTTTTTTTATTAAAAAAGAAGAAAAAAACAAAACAAAACAAGAAATCCTTTCCCTTTTCCAGGAATTAGAAGTGGGGAGTGAGTCCCATCTTGACAGTTTCCTCTGTCCTTTCTCCTAAATGTCAGTGTGTTACTAAAGAGCTACTGACTTGTGACCATAGGACTCATGAATTCCAGACACAATGCCATTAACTGTTTAACCAACTCCCCTATAGCTCTATATAGTGCTATCCCCAAGATAAGGTGCCTTGAGATAAGCTAATATATACCAATATCTACCTAATTGGTCTTTTTTCTACAAAAGAACAAAACCAGCATTTGTACCTACCAGGGCCTATCTTTGTGTATAGCATATGGATCTTCCTGTGCAGTAAAACATTCAGAAATCAATTGTAATCTGGATATACTGGGTGTTTAATCTTAGTGTTGATGGTTGACCACAGTAGATCTTGGAAATTTGGGTATAAGGAAGGAATGGCTGCTCTGATAGTTCCAAAGAAGAAATGCTATTATCGTATTTAGTGAATTGAAAAACGAGAAGCTTGGAGACTAAACAGGTTGGAGTAATATCTGTGTGAACACAGAGTCACACTCTACAGACATCTTGGAAAGGATCTTTACATTCGTGTATGACATTAAACAGCAATTGCTAGACCTTGATGTGAAAGGGAGAGTGCTCTTGATAGATGAGGCCTCTGAGATAAGAAAAGTGAAGTGCTTCTCTCAAATACCTTGTTAAGCAGCTGGTGCTGAGTAAGCATAACTGGGAGCTTGTTGACAGCTTACTCTTTATTCTAAATAAAATTCCTTTGTAGTCTTCTTCAGTTTGCATATGATGTTACAAATTATTTCGTGGTTTCATCTGATAAGCATGATGTTCTTTTGTAATTGCAAAATACCCTTTTAAAAAAAAAATTGAAGGTATGTTAGTCACCTTAAAGATGCCAGACTTCCTTGGCAAATACCAAGAGTTGTTTGGCTCAAGTGCTGGGGTATTGTGCTTGAGAAGAACCACAGAGCTTCATTTGTTGTTGTTATACCCTTTGTGTGCTGCTGGTTAGGTGCATGTACAAAGTCATTTGCGAAAGACATCAGAGTTAAGGATCATATTTTATTTGTGTTTCAGAACTAGTGTTGTAAAGTCTGCACTTATTCTGGTGGTTAGAAATTCAAATATTTGCTAATATGTACAGGTTTTTTCCACTCTTTTTCTGTAGATAATGCTTAGTATGTTGTTACAGTTTATTCATGACAAGTGTCATTTGAAATGGAAAGAGCTTGGTTGTAGCTCTCCTTTTAAGGGCTCCAAGGTATGAACTAGTTAAGTGATATGTACAATTGTGAATCTATAAATAGTAGTAGTTATTGTTTCATTAATTACACACCATATTGAAAAAAAATAAAAATCAAGATCACTCTTTAGGAAAGAAAATTTTCCATCCATACCTTACTTGTTACTGTAATGGTTTGCAATGTTAAGATAGAGTTCTTAATCTGTTTCTATCTAGGCCATGGAAATACTTTCTTCTTCTTTTTTTTTTCCTTTCTTTTTTTTCTTTTTCCTGTGATTTAGTGATTTGCATTTAAATATTTTATGGATAATCTTGCTCCGTTCTGCTTTTGAGAATAAGCTTTGATGAAGAAGTTTGTTTTGCTCTAGGCTTTGCTGGTGCTCGTAATGGCATTTCCCAGCTGGCAGTTTGTAAGACAAAAGCAGGCTAGTGGCAGCAGCTGTGGAGACAGTGTGTTGGCTTGCAGTTATGAAATCCAAAGAACAGGGAGACCTAACAGAAACACATGAATTGGTAGAAAGAAACTTAAACAGTAGGGCAGCAGGTCATAGTTAGCGATTGTAACAGCAGTTCCTTCCTCTGCTCCTTTGTAGTTTCAAAGCTTATGGAAACATCTTTCAAAGCCTTTGGTGCTACTGAAGGTGCCTTACGTACATGACTGTTGTGGCATAGTTCATTAAGTGGCTTAATTTCTGTCATACAGTACAGCTGAGCACACAAGTGAGTGTGGGAAAAGATGGACCAGGGTCATTGGCTATTTTATGAATTGCTGGTGACAGGAAGTAGAGAACTGATGGGTTAAAACTGAGTTTAGTTGTGTCAGTGTGTTGCACAACAACTCAAGACAAATGTGTTTTGTGCTCTGGCATTTCGGTACCGTCTGCTGAGAATATGATCATGTAGTAGTTTACAAGAGACTTAAACTGTCTCCAGTAGATTCTCTGTGACTTCTAAAACAAAAGAATTGGTTAGCAAATAGGTTTGGGGAATATTCCTTTCTCATATTTAGTATGGACTTTGACCTATACGCACACTTTTAAAATAGAATGTGGAACAGTAAAAATAAAAAAAAGATGACAAAAGCTAGTCAAATTCTAATATACTTCTTTTTTTCCCTATTATAGAAATACATTAACTTTGAAGTGGAACTAAACAATGGAACCAGACATTATTCGAATGTACTCCTCATCCCCTCCACCACTAGACAATGGAGCTGATGATGATGATGAAGATGAATTTGGAGAATTTGGAGGATTTTCTGGTGTAAGCACTGCCGGTGTGGCTTTTGCTGATTTTGACGCACCAGACTACAGTCATCCAAAGGAAGAGTTTATACCCACAAATCATTTCATCCCACTTCATGATTATTCTGACAATGTAGCTAGCATTGCAACTTTCACTTCTGTTAAAAATGTTAAAGATAAAGACTGCGTTGCAGAGCTTCCTACTCTTACTAAGGAACTTTCTGATATGTCAGCTACTAGTACCAGCAAAGAAAAATCTAAGTTTAGAACTTCAGGTACCACTTTAGAAGATGTAAACAAAAGAGCGGAACAAAGAGACAACACTGGGAAATCGGAGTGTCTTTCTTCTCATGTTGTTAGAACTGGTATAGTAGTTGAGAGCCAGGATGAGCAAATAGATGCTTGTAATGGTGAGAAACTTCTGTGTCTAGAGATTCTAACAAATGGATTTGCAGCATCAGACCCTGTAAATCCTCAGGGAACAGAAGATCTAGACAGTATTGGTGACTCAAAGGGACTGAAAATTGCTAGCACCCATAATACTGAGCAGAATTTGAACTCAATGCCTAGCTCAGGTGAAGACTTTGCAGATTTTGCTACGTTCTCAAACAAAAACCCAATCCATTTAGAGGGAACAGGACCTACAGTATGCACTGTTCTTAATGAAAGAGACTCTCTGAGCGTTCAGGAGAACAACAGAATAAATGGATTAACTCGTATTGAAGAAGAGGTTTGCATTTCAGAAATTAGTTGTGAACAGGGTCCCTCAGCACTGGAAGATAATGAATCTGCAATTTCTAGTACATCTCGAACAACTGGAAGTTCAATATGCACTACTGAAAATGGAGACCACAGTGGGAGGAGAAGACAACATGGCATAGAGAATGGCAAAGATTTTACTAGAGCTGATGACTCTTTGGGAACAGAGGACATCAGGGCTGATAAGATCCAAAGCCTAAGGTGTGATCTTGCAGGAGAAAAATTGGGTGATTCTGAAGATCTTAAGAATGGTGGAAATAGTACTGAAGTTGTAGCTTGCAGTGACACACATGATGATGATTTTGGTGATTTTGGTTCAGTCAGCAGTGCATCTCCCACCTTCATTAATGCTCAAGAATCAGTAAATGCTCTAGATTTAGAAGGATCTTCCGAACAGCCCACACATATTAGCAAACCTAATGATGAATTTGGTGAATTCAGGGACAAAAGTACTTTTTCTCAGCAGCCAGCAAAGTTGGATCAGGCCGAACTAAATCAGACTGCTGACAATTTAGAATGTGATACTACCAGTAAAACTTCTGGCTTAGACTTCCAGCATACTACTGAGGTAGAAAATGGTGATGATAGTGAATTTGGAGACTTTGATTCAGTGCCAAAACCTCAAGATGAGAGTGTTGCTTTTCAGGACTCTGATGACTTTGCGGACTTCAGTTCAGCAGGTTGTAACCAGGCCACAGACTGGAATGCTTTTGAAGATGAGCAAAAAGACAGCTGTTCTTGGGCTGCCTTTGGAGATGAGCAAGCTGGTGAATCTCATCATAGAAAAGAGACGTGGCAGTCACATAGGACAGATGCATCTGCCAGGATTGATGGTCCAGTATTACACAAGACTGACAATTTTGCTTTAGCATCTTTCCAAGGAACTACCAGTAAGCAATCTCAAGAGCCAGCACCTTCGGTTCAGGTAAGGGTGTTCTTCATTTTGTTCAGTCTTGTTCCGCTCTTGTGCGTACAGCTCTTCCTGGTTCTGCGTACAATAAATGTTTGAATAGTCCTTGTTTGTCTTGTGGGAGAGATTTCATTTGGTGGGTGAGATGGTCTGGTACAAAATAGTATGCTGTGTTTGCATCTTGTATCTTTTGCACTGTTACTTCCTGCAGAAAAATGAGCGAGGTATGCTGGAACTTGTATGCATTTGTTTTGATGATTGTATGTGGTCCTTTACATGAACTGATCAAAGGAATAAGCCATCATAAACATTTCAGAGCCTGTGATAGTTCTTCCTTTGCTTCATAGTTCACTGCCTTTTGCGGGGGCACTCTGATGTTGCCTTTTTGTAAAATAGTGGTGTGACTGGAATCTGAGATTACTGGTTCCCAAAATTTTTCATAACCATCTCTATCACGTTTTCAAAATCTGATTGAAAATGATGACTCGATTTGTAAATACGTGCACTCATTTGCTTAGAACAGAGAGCATGATAAAATATGACCTATGGAGTTCTATCCCTGGTATTCCAACTCCTGGGAAGTTAACCATTAAAAGTTATTTTAAAATAAGTCCCTGTTATACATTAATTGTGGGAAGCGCCACATTATAGCAACACCACAAATATAGGACTGATGATTTCTTAAAGCTGCTGCTATTTCTAATTAGGAGTTTTGGGAAGGGTGAAGTAGATAGGTTTATTTCTTACCCCCACCCCCTAGGTTTTCTGCCTTACTTGCTAAGTACGTATCAATTCCTAATTAATTCCTTCCTAAGTCTTTTCACCAGTCATCTTTGAGATCTTTGCCTGTTCCTACATAGAACATTTTTTTACAAAGTATTTAATACTACTTTTACAAAATTCAGAACAACAGTTTGAGTTTAAAATTCTCTTCAATGCATCTTTTTAATCGTGTCATCCCAAGTGAGTAGTTTAGACTATGCTCTGTCTTTTGGAAGCATGCAGCAACACGAGCAATAAAGGGTGTTAGTGGTAATATGTGTCTGAAAGGTTTGGATCTTCTCTGGCAATAAAAGGAAATGAGGTAAGTCCTTTCTACCAGGACCTTGTGCAGGTTTGGTGACAGCCCTGCCTCTTTCCGTTTCCTACCAGTGACAGGTGGAATGGCTTTTCAGAAGAAGGTGGTGCCAGCCGGAGCTTTGCAGCAAGTGGAATGGAGCTTTAGGGGCTTAACGCTGATTTCTTGTCACGTTAAAAGGTGTGAGCCTCTGCTCCTGACACTTCCTTCTTGCCATTTTGTGCAAGGACTAACACACCAAATTTCAGAGTGGCTTCATGAGCCAAAAAAAGGCTCACAAGCGAACCTGCAGGTGGATTTTTGTGCCTATGCAAAACCTTGCTCATCATCACCTGAATGTGTGAGTCCATTTCTCAAGGTGAAAGCACAAATCTATTGTTACCTATTCTGTTGGTTACTCACCCACAAAACTGGAGAGTACTAAGGTTATTAGTGCAATTAATCTAAAGTGTTCCTGTTGCCACTCGAAAGACTGTCCAGAATCTGACAAAGAAATGGAGTGGGGAGATGATTCTAGTAAATCATCCATTTCTCTGGTTAATCATGCTATTAAGGGATAGTCTGAAGGTTTCAAACATTTATTTTTACTTACAATTTTCGATAACTTTATGATGGAGTTTCAATAGAAAACACTTCTGAATGTAGACCTGTATAAAACCAGAACCTTCAGAGGTTCTGTAATGATTTTTTTTTTTTTTTCCCTCCCCAAGTCTGCCTTAACAAAAGATAAAAGCCAAGTTACAATGGAATTTCTTTGGTGATCTGTCATGAAGTCATACAGTAGTTTGGTTAGATTGTAAAGCAAGTTTTAAGACTTATTCCTTCTCTTTATACTACAGCCACTTGTGACTGGATATAAAGTGATGTTCTGCCTCCCCTGCCAGTGAGGAAGTACAACTCAGAGAATGTTTTACACAAATAAGCTGTAGAGGAAGTTGAGCTGGATATGTTTTCTCTGTTGCAATAGTTTCCTTAGCCTTGCAAGGACAGTTAGTTGCTAAATCTTTTTTTCAGTTAACTCAAAAAATAGTTACACATTTTCAAAACTTACTTTGTATTCTGTAAGTGCTTTAAGTTTTGGCAGGATTTATTGAAACCTTTTTTATATATATATATAAAAAAAAAAGCTTTCTTTTAATCTTGTGTAGTAATTCATTTTTAATCAATTGAGCCACAGTTTAGTAAGTTGCAATTAGAAACATTGAGATTAGTTGAGTCAACATGAGCCAGCAGACAATCCCAGTACTTTGAGTGCAGAATCTTAGCAAAATTAAGCTCAGATTTTGATCGGCTTCTTTACTTTCGTTGAAGAGGATGTCACTGAGGCCAAACCACAAGTTTTAAAGTATTTGCTGATCTTCTGTTTCCCATGCATTAAAGTTGAGTTCTGGAGCTGTTTGATGCAAAAGCAGGAACACTTGCATGCAAAATAAAGCTAGGGAGAGGTAAGCAAACAAAACTTTTTATTACTCTGACCAAAGAAGGATATGGAGGAGTAGATCGCTTGCATCAACGTATTGCTGGCAGATCTAAAAAGCACTTGCTGTAGCAACTTAAAGGGAGCAGGCTGTGCAAGAGAGAAATACTGCATGTGTTAGACGCTTGAGATAGATGTGAAAATTGAGACCTCAGCTTAGGATAAAAGGGAACTGGGATCGTTTACAAGATACTATATACACTTGATCTTTGGTGTTGAGGCTAGGAGAGTCACTGTAATGTGGTAGTGAAATAATTTTGAATGGTGTGTAAACAGAATGACCCTAATGTAATTCTTTGCTTTTCAGTTTTCTGCTTTTGTATGCTTAGCCAGTAGCATTACTGTTTAAATGTGGAAATGATGTATACAGCAATTTTCGTCCATCCAGAATGCAGCACGAAATGAAAGTTATTTAGCAGTAGCTCAAGTTCCCTTGCCAATGGTCTCTGTGTATTTTTGTTTCTGTTTCCTTGGTTTGTGTATTCTGGTTGTGGAGGTAGCAGCAAAATTTTGTGCTTTCTGAATGTGGTCTTGACTGTACAGTGTATGTCAGGCAAATTGTTATAAAGATTGTGGATTTGGTATAATGTTTAATTAGAAGTTAGACTTTGCTTGAATTTATCTAATTAATCCAGTTTTTCTTAGGAAATGTAGGATGTAAAAGAAGAGAATAAGAGGAAACAGGTCACAAAAATGACCTTCTATAGTGACATGTGGCAAAAAGATCATTTTGTCTTTTCTCCTTTGCCTTTGGTCTTAGGCTCTCCGAATCCTGCATGCAGTCTGTAATGTAGGATTTGTAACATGCTGACCTTTTCTATTCAGTAGTGCTGCATGGAGGGGAGAAGCGAAAGGACGCAGTATATGGTATTGACTTAAAACTGCTGAAGGAATTTGTAACCCCTTAGAAAAGGTACCAGTTTCAAAGGCTGATGGACACAGATACACAAACTATTATTTGAACCCATATTAATACTACCAAATACCTTAGTCATTTAATGTCTGTCTTCAGCTGAAAAAATATGTAATAGCTGGTTTCAGTATAGCTGCAGGTTTGTAGTAGATACGGATGTGCCTTTGTGTTCATTAAAACTGAATTAAGATGTAGTGGTGGGTGAACTGGTTGATCTAACAAGTTTTGAGCAAACCTGTACTGTACAATATGCATTAATCCCCTTTATGTGATCATGTAGCACGCTACTAAGTTATGCTTATAAGGAATATAAGGCTTGTAGCACAGCTTTTTCAATAAAATAGTGTTGAACATTGGTTAGCCGAGGGGGTTACTCTGCTGTATTGTGCATTAAGAATATGTATAGGACATAGGCAGCAAAGCACAAGAGCAGTTATTACCTATGGTAATCATATGGGTGGGTAATACAGTGGTGCCTAGCTGTGTTCAAGGTGTATGGGCATCTGTAGAGCAGGAGGAGATGAATAGTGGCTTGGTTGGAAGGCCAAAACTCTTACCTGATTTAGCTGAGAGTTAACAAATACTGAAAGGGAGGAAGGGAAACCTTAACAGTCCTCCAAGTGGGTTTTAAGATCCTCATCCTGTTAGAGGCTCTACCTCTTCAGATTAATCAGACAGTGTGGGTGATGCACAGTAACTAAGCCACAAGTATGCATCAAGACAATGAAAACCCTGGATCACTCTCACTTACGGAGTACTTTGTCTTGGGCAATGAATGAAGTCATGCTCTTGGAAAAAAGTAATTATGACCATAAAGACTTCAGCCTCCCAGTTCACTAAGATAGATTAAGATCATGTTGGCTAAATTAAGTTCAGACAGTCTGGTAACAACTTGCAGTGTAAATATGTCTGTCTGGAAAGGTTTGGGTTTTTTTAAGTCCATAGCATAGTTCTTAAGTGTGTGCAGCTGAATAACAGTAAAAACCAGACCATTAATAGCAGCCCATAATTGCTGTATTTCAGAACATGCTGGCTAAGGGTATCTTACAAAAGAAAATAGTTTGGGAGAGGGTTGTTTTAGCATTTCTGTTTATGTATCACAGAACAAAATTATTTTCCATTTTGTACACATAAGTTTTGTCTACTATACTTCCTCTCAGAGCCTGACTGAAAAGTTAGTACATCACCACTAGATAATAACAACATGACCAACTGAAATGAGAAGGAGGTTTTATGTAGTCTAGATAAATAACTGTTGTACTTCACTTTGCCTGCATGGAAGATGCAAGATTTGATACATTCTTCCAACTGAGGGAGAAAAAATGTGCAAGCCTTCCAGCAAGAAGGAGGGAGACAGATTCACATTTCTACGCTGAACTTCCCTGTGGTTTAGAACTCTCTTGTATCAAGCAGTAAAAAGAGCAGAGAAGTCTTGTTCTTCTTAAGCCTCTAAATTTTCAGATTTGCTTTGCAGCTGAGCTCAAGACCTTTATAGTTACTATTTAAAAATGTTTTTGGGATATCTAGGACTATCATTGCCTTCTTTA